ATTGTTACCATTATAACAATAATATTGTCGCACACTATAAAAATTAATGGTGCTAGTTGAAAAAAATTACTTTACCTATACACAAAACAAACAATATGTGTGCATATAATTCAACTTTAAATTGGTGTCATCTATAAATTTTTTTGTTATACAATGTTTTGTATAACATTTCTTTTAATAATAATTTTAAAATGTTTTCAATAAAAATTGTAACTAGCTATGTAAGTAATTTAATTTTTAAAATTTAGTACATTTTTGTTTTACACGGTATTCAATTAAAAAATCTATTCAATTGACTCTTAAACTTATACAATCATATTTTTATTAATTTTCTATTGTTTTAAGTACACATACATATAAATAACATAAACAAAACAAAAAATGCATTCTATTATACTCGATTATAAATTTATAACAATTTTCTCTTTTATTTTTATATACTTACATTAACCAATTCTAAAGGTGCTAAAATACCCGCAATATTGCTTAAATCTTAAATATAATATAACAAATAATGGTCATTGTTAAGGTATTCATACATACAGGAAAATAATTTTGCCGCAGAAAATCATTTTATATTTGCATATTCAAATTTTCAATACCCACATATATGATTATGATATACACATAATGTGTGTCAGCATGTGTATAAATTTTCGCTCTCTTTTGATGTAAATTTTGTATTTCGTTCTTTTCTTTATTTTTTTTTTTTGTTTTTACCTTTTTTGGGATTTATTAATAATCAATTTCGATTAAAAGTATTTATACATGTATTGTATATGTATAAGTAATAACCAGAGGTGTTATTCATACAATTTGACCAAAAAAAAACGGCCAACTGTGTGAAAATTTCAACCAAAATTTTGTTTGCAAATTTAAAATAAGATGAAAGAACTGTAACTTAACAGCTTTCAAAACCAACATTTTTTTTTTCGAAAAACGAGGAATAAGATGAGAATTGATTGCACTCCATTGACTGGAATTGATATTATTAATTGCTATACTCGCTGGCTATTATATTTTATAATAGCTATACCTAATGGATAAAGCGGAAAATGTATAGTCCATCGGCTTTATTTTTGAAAAGAATTTTGTTTAAAAGACGGGCTTAGTAATAACGTAGTCATTATATGGGAAGTATGAAACGCTCAAGGGGTTCGCTAAGAACAACTCAAATAATATTGCCAAGAACATATTTTATCAACATAATTTTTGCCGACCAATATAAAAGTTCAATTAACAACTCTGCAATTAAATATTAAGTAGGTAATAAATGAGTTTGTATATATACATTTTGCAAAAAAACAAAAAATTCAATTGAAACACACATTCATTTTACATTTTCTTTTTCATCTTGAATATTAGATTGAAATTTTTAAATAACCAGTAGCTAATTTGAATGACCAGAAGCAAAAACAAACCAAAATAAATGATTTTTTTTTTTTTTGCTTTTTTTCATTTTAGATTCAATCCCGAATAAATGATTTCACGGTACTTGGAAAAGAAAAAAACTTTTCTGTTTTTTTGCTTTTCCTTGCTTGTTCACACAAAAAAAAAATCTCTTTAAAATTCTTTCAGATGTATATAAGATGCCTAAAATGAGATAATTTGAATTTTATGAACAAATTATTGAGATTGTTTTCAATTTCCCAGCATTAACGTTTACTTTAGCAGCATGTTCAATTTTCATAACCACGCGCTTTTCATTATTATAATAAAGTGCACATACACAATAGAGATTTCTCTTGGAAAATCGAATCGGATGGTTTTTTCTTTGTTTTTAGATTTTAAAAGATTTTTATGTTCATTTTTTGTGCGATTAGAATAAATTGTAATTTAAAAATGTAACGTAATTCGTGGCTTTTCAACATTTTGATTTTGAGCTCTTATTAAAAATATGCAAAAAAACAAAACCCAAAATTACATTGTGGGAAGGTAAACAGGTGATATTAAAGAAATTATTTCACTTACTAGTTCTTATACTATACATATAAAAATTTTTCTGTTTACATATTAAACAGAAGGACTGAAAGGCATACAGTAATTATTGAAGAATTTCAATTATTTAACACTTTCGGGTTAGTTTGTGCGGCAAATTCAATAATTTAATAATGGGTAAAAAAAAAAAATCACGATTAAAAATATTTTATGATTCTTTTTTTAGTTAAATGCAAAATAATCTCAAAAATATGTTTAAATTCGTAAAGGTTTTGAATAATTTCTAAGAATGGAATTCAAAATATTTAAAAATTTAATCAATATTTTTATTTTTAATTGACATTTTAAGAAAATAATTTATTGTAAAATGCAAATATGCTTAAGAATTTATTAAATAAAATAATTTTTTTATACTAGTATTGCGAGTTGAAGTATTCCGAAATCAAAAAACAATATTTATGAAAAAAGTAGTAGTAGTAGTAGTTAGAGAGGGGGGCTCTACTCGTACACACGCGAAGCCCATGCACTGGGCCAACAGAAAAGGTCTATCGGCCACCCCCGAAAACCAACACGCAACAACCTCCATGCAATCCGACCCACCAAACCCCCTATCCAAACCAGCCAACCTCCCTGGCGAAGTCTAAAAGCCGCGCAAGAGACACCCCGAAAAAGTTCCCCAGGCCATCGTAAAAATAAGCAACCAAGATACGTCTTCTCTTCCATATCAAAAACGGACAGGCACAGAGGACATGCTCTACATCCTCCACCTCCGCCACATGCCGACATTCGCGACATACATCCGTCGTAGCGACCCAAACCTCCTGCCCATTTTCCCCAGAAGACGATACCCCGTCAGAGCCCCCAACCAGTGTGCTGAGATCAGCCCTACCATACTTCAACAGTATCCTCGTTCTCCTTTTGTCCCTGATAGGCCATATTGTTTTGGTCACCCTACACGTGTGAGCCTTTGCCCACAAGACCCCGTTCCTCCTCCTGCACTCACCATCTATGACGTCAAGATACGCTCCTAGCTCGGAGGCGATCTGCCATCTCATTACCCCGTATCCCGCTGTGACCGGAAACCCGGCACACAGTCATCCTGCACATATTGCAAAGTGATATGGAAAAAGGAAGAGAAAAATAAATTTTAATGAGGCTTCGAGGACATTATGACTTGTAGGGGTCATTGTGCTTGATGAATTTTAAATAAAGCTCCATCGTGATGTTAGTTCTATGCAATCACCTGCTAAAGGTCACGTAACAATAACAAAGCATTGTAGAGGCTTACAGAGGATTTTTTTACAATTTTTTAATATTTTTTTCATTACAATACCAAGCATTATTTTAGAAATATTCAATTAAATTTTTATTATAGCAAAAAAAAAAGGCTCACGATTTACGATATGTAATTAAGAAGATTTTTTCAAATTTACATTATGTTATTTTATTAGAATACATATGTATATTTTGTAAATATCTAAGTATAGATTATATAATTAATATAGATCTAATCTACAGATGTCCACATACTTTCGATTTCACATGCTATATGCATATACTGAGATACGATAAACTAATCCACGTAAATTACATATAAGTGTATGTATATGTTAATAAAACTTGATGAATTTTTAATATTCTAGTCTGATTCTAACACCATCGAATCACTTACTATTTATTATATTATGCATTTTAAATTCAACTATGTACACAAAACCAATTCACAGAGGTATAAAGAATTTCAAGAAAAAAAAATCTATAAATGTTTCGGTTTTTTGCTTTTTCTCACTTTTTTTTTAAATACAATTGGCATTGATATAGCATTCCAATTTACAAAACATGAATATTTATATCAGCACTTTATTAATGGTATCCCGTGTATTTATGCCAACATAATTGACATTCCACCGGATAGGTAAAGAAGATGTAAAAACACACAACACAAGAGCCAACAAAAAAATAATAAAAACGCTAAACTAATCTTCTAATTCATGAATTTCAAATGAATTTTTCCTATATGTGTTACAAATCTATAATCTTTTATTCCAATTATGTAAAGACCGTATTACTTAAGACAAAAAAAACAATTTTGATTAGGACAATTAATAAAATGCCTTAACACCTCTAAAATGTGACAAAATAAATAAAAAACCAAGAGAAAAAACACAAAACATAAAAATTAAAAAAATAATTTAATAATTTATTACACCTGTATCCAATTAAATTATTCGATTAATGAATATTTTGCTATTTTTTTTTTTACCGACCGTATTATGTATACAATAGGTAGGTTATGTGATGGCAACAAATTTTGCATATCGAGCTTTCGGTGGTCTGTCGCTCTGTGTGTGCACGCGTGTATCTCAAGTTCGGCTGAACCGATTTTGATGAAATTTTATATGTAAGTTTGTTTCCACCATGGCACGAATTGATCAACCGAACGGATTGATTAAAATAATGAACATATAAATTTTTTAGAAAGATCAGGGCTCGAAAACTGATTTGCGGGGCGATTTTACATTTTTCACCATATCTACGGAACGAATTGATGGAATTTCTTGAAATTTGATATTTGAGTTCTGGTTGTTACCGAACATAACTGGCGAGCATTTCAGGGAATTCGGGTAGCACAAAGCAAAACTCTACTAAGAGTCAAATTTACATTTTTCTCGGTATGTTAACTATAAGCTTACTAATGCCCGAAAAATTGGAAAGAAGTATTTAACAGACATTTTTATAATATTCCGTAACACTTTCACTTAACTAGACAATAGACAATGCGGTCGGTTATGTGCTGACCACATCAGATTTTTTTTTTGCAATCTAATCGATCTAAAACTTTGCTTGTAGGGAAGGGAGAAGTGCAACAAATTCTATAATTTATCATCAATTTAATAACTTGTAATTAAAATTTTTTTTTATATATAAATACGAGATTTTTTTTTGGTTTTACTGCACTTGTCGCCTAAGCTTGTTTTGTTGATTTTTTAAACAAATTCACACTTTGATAAACAAGATTTATTTTTTTTAATTTAATTTTTTTCTTTATTCTTTGCTTGCAGTCATTACCACTAACTACAATCGGCAAAAAAAAAAGCATATTTAACTCAAAAACATAGATTAGTAGTTTTTCTTTTCACCTAAGCGAGATTACATATACCAGGAGCAATTATACCAGACAGTCAAACAGCAGCATAGAACCGAATATACTATCAACAATCACAGATAATATGTGGTGTCACCTTCCGGCATAAAATAATAATTAAGTGACAAAAAAAAAAAAACGAATACAATAATGAAGAAATGACAAATGTATAGAAACATTGTATTGAAACAACTGATGGCATGGAAGCAAAATAATAAAAGCAAAGTAAGTTAAAAAAAAATTCTAATTTTTTATATTTTAAATAAAAATATTAAAAATTACAAATAAATTGAATATTTCTGAATATTTTTTTTTTTATAATTAAAAACAGAAAAAAAGGAGGTTAAGGTGAAAAAGAAGATTTTTTCATACACATAATTTTATTAAATTAATTTCAAAATATAAACTAGATCTATAATTGAAAATATTTTAATGCTAAACCAATTATAAATTTATGGAATATTCAGAATATTACGGGTTCGTACTATTGAGAATTTCTTTATTGGGCACTGCCCTTGTAAGATGCATAAGCTGGAAAAGTTGGACGCGTCCTTGTGCAGATTCTGTGGTGGTTCACCTAACTTGTGACTGCCCCATTCTGACTGTCCGGCGTCGCAATTGTCTTGGACAAGGTTTTGTCTTGGAGCGTTTGGGAATAGATGAGAAGGCTGGGAGAATACAATAAGTCGCGAATGGTCGCAGTGGTCCAGGGTATCTGTCCTCTTGCCCCATTCGATTCCCTTAGAATTTAACAATCTATCAATAAAGTTCTTACGATAACACTTCTAGTGATCGATGGGAATTTGATTAGCGTTTTAAATTTTTGCATAAAACAATAAACTTTTAACAAACCCTACATCATTCTTTCTTTTTTTTGTTATCCTAAAAACATTTTAATTTACTTAAAATTATAAAAGTGAACGAGTAATTCTTATACGTTGTATTTACAAAGAGAGATCCATTAGAAACACGTACATAATAATATATTGATGACATTTAGAATTAAACACTTCTGTTTGAAAATTGTTTAATGTATTTTGTGAATCTCTATGGAATACGAGTATTATTTGCTTATAATATAAAATATTAATGGAATTCAATGAGCATATTCCAAAATTATGAAGAAAATTTAATAATAAAAAAATTATTGTGAAATATATGTATATTGCAATCTTAATAGCACTAGAGGTACGAAAACTCGAAAAAGCAGAGATTACTAAATTTTGTATTCCGAATACTTTAATTGACCTTAAATTTATTCGGAATCACTCTTAATTTTTTAAAAAATTTATTGCTCCCATGTAATCTTCTGCCTAACAACATTTTACTATCTATCCCTGTTTAACTAAGACTTATGTTGTAATTAGAACACATGGAAAACTACAGAACTGATTAGGATCAACAATGCCTGGACACTGCTGTATAGACGGAATGAAATAGCTGATGAACTCGCCAGGGGCCGGAGCCATACTTCGGGGTGCAAAGGACAACGGTGCTGTGTGCTCTGAATGACTGGGAGAAGCAGGCTAGAGTTGAAAATTGGAACAGCTACCCGGGCCTTTCGCATTCTAAGAAATTTCTGTCTCCTTGTGGGACTGGGAGGACGAAAGCTCGCCATGCTTGATCGTCAAGATTTGAGACTATTGGTTGATGTCCTCATTGGACACTGCCTCTCAATGATTTATCTGAAAAGAATGGGAGGACGGGGTCTGCCGTTTGTGCCTGAAAGAAAACGTGACGAAAGGCGTTGCCTCGCAGTCACATACTGAAGTGCTTCGGGAGGGCTTTGTGGCTCCATGGAAGATCTCGCGGCTTGATGTGGCTGCTGTACTGTAGTTTGTCAGGGGACTGGATATAGGTTGAAAAAACTTTATTGCAGTTTTTAATAAAATTCAATTAAATTTTAATTCTATATTAATATAAATTTTAGTTAGTATATTAAAAATACTAAGATTTAGAAAAAAAAAATAAAACTTTAAACTTTTCCATATATGGCAATCATTTAAGACTATTAAAAGTGCACACACACCCATTTATTTTTGTTTATGATGTTATCGTTGTTGTTTTATTTTGCAACTTGCAAATTTCATATAGGAAAGAAATGCAATCAATTCGATTTTCTTTTGTTTATTCATTTTGTTTTTTTTTTTTATTATTTATGTTACTAATTTGCATACGCTGAATCATACGAGAATTAAAAAATTTAATTTTTATTTTTTTACTAGATCTTACGCGGCGGCTTTTTTTTTCTTCTAACAGAGTGCAAACAAAATCTTATGCTCTCGGTGTATTTTTTAAGTGGAAATATCGATCACATTATTTTAATATTTGTTTGTTGTGTAGAGATAGATTTCAAGTAATTTGTACACCTGTATTCGACTTTTTATATCAAATTTTTGAAATATGCCAATTTTGACTTTGAAATATGCAAAATATTGAAATTGTAATCAATTTTATTTCTTTGAATTTAGAAGAAAATCATTAAAATCCAGAGAAAACTAAAATAAGAAGACTCGAATCAAAGTCAAATTTTAAAAAGCAATAAATTTTTCAGAAATCCGTAAAATTTTAAAGATCGAAAATTTACCCAATTTTGATATGAAAATCGAAAAAAATTTTATTGAGTTTCATTATTTGCCATTAATTTTTTGTATGATAGCTACGAAATTTAAGAAATAAATTTGCAAAATAAATTATTTTGCTCTGATATACTCTAAAAATTCTTATTTGTCGTAAATTCATACATTTTTCTGTCCATACATTATTTGTTTTACTTGCCTTTTCGTTTTATTTGCCAATTTTAAAAACGCAATCCAGATATAAATCTAAAATCAGGGTTAAGATTTACATGTACACAAAAAAAAAATAAAATTGCATATATATAGGCGTATACCTTATTTTTATTTTGTTTGATAAAAATGAAGAAGTACAACACCCACAATATAATAATATAAATCAATGACGTCATTTAAAATCAAATCATCCCAAGTTTTCAACCGAAAACCAAACGGCATTTTTTATCTCGTTTTCGAATTACGAATTTCAAAGCTTCGTTTTCGAATTAAGAATCGAAATTTTAAAATTGAAAAATCCAAATAAATAAAATCAAAATTTCAGATCTTTCGTCTACGTGTATACCTTCTCCTTTCCCAAATCCATTTCATCTTCATATTGTAAAAGAGCTAAAAATTGTGACTTCCATTATTGAGTCATAAATTGTAGCTGTGCTGTAGAGTTTGAAATCGTACTTTTACTTGTACATTTATGTGCCCATTTCATTTTCATTTGAGTCACAAATTCTAGCTTTCCTATAGAATCGCCTATATGATCTATCTCCTGAACAGGGAAATATAACCGAATATAAGTGTCCAAATAATTTACAAAATGTTTTTTCATTTATTCAAAATTCTTTGAAATTTTCTACTCAATTATACACACATATGAATGTGTAATATGTAAGTATAGGTACATAATACTTATACGCATTCTTATTGCATAACACTATCATGTAGGTATCTTTAATATTATGCTAATATCTCTTTGTCTTAGCATAAAAAACAAAAAAAAAAAAAAAATTTACTGCTCTAATTTTTTTTTTTTCTGTAATATTTTCATGTAATTTTATTCTATTTATTATAAGAGATGAAAGAAAAGCGATTTAATGTCAAAATTAAAAAAAAAAAAGAAAAAGACGAAAATAAAAAAAAAAATTGATAAATGATCTCGATAATTTGATAATTTTTGCATCAACTTTATTAAAATAATGTGCGTATAATGTACAACATACGTTTTAACACATGATTACACTGTTAATGTTACCATGTATGTATATATATATTATTTGTATGTAGATGATTAATGTGTATATGATAGATAAATATAGTATTTTCATATTTTATATTTACATATTATATTATGAAAATGTCAACGCGCAAAATTGATTGACTGATTGCGCGACAATTTCCTTTATAATATAGAGCAAAAAAAAATATTAAATGTAGGTACCTTTAATATAGATATGCGCATATTACACATACACATGTTTATCTCAATATATATATATTTACATATTATATATATATATATATATATATATATAAATTTTCACCTTCAATTATTTTTAATTTCATTCATAATAATTATTGTGTGTTGTACACACAAATTGCTGTTGTTGTTGTTGTTACTTTATGCTTTCATATTGGTGGTCGTAGTTTCTACATATAGATAGAAGAGAAATTGTTGTTTTAAATGACTTTTGAATGTAAATTTATTTACAACAGGTTGTTATTATCAAAAATGTCGCCTTTTTGTATTACAGTTGGTCGGCTGTTTTTTTTTTTTGTTTTTTAATTTTTAAATTTCATTTATTCAGAATTGATTTTATGGGAGTTGATTTGCTGTTTGAATAATTTTTTTTCTTTTCCCCCTTAAACAAAATTCATCTATAGTTAAATTATTAAAAATTAATTATTTTCTGAAATATTATTTATTATTTTTATGTATTTCATCGCAGCTATTTAATATTTTGTAATTTCAATTGATATTGGCCACGAATTCTTGTAATTCAAAAAAAAAAAAATTATCATTGGAAGTACAAACAGGGTGGCCGTTTTTGAATATATTTTCTTCCAAAATTAAATGATTGAAATTGAATTGAATTTTTGTGCCTAATGAAAGAACCTTATTATAAATTGTAAAATAAATTTGATTAATTAATTAATTTGTTCATAAATTTAAGTAACTACTCGTATAATCACTAATCTTACAGAGTGTTCGAATATTTTTCAGTTGAAATTATTTTACAATTTTTTTTCCCTAAATTGTAAGCCTAATTACGAATTCAATTGGTTTGCAATTAATAAAACAAAAATAAGTTCAAGAAATGAAGAAGTCGTTTCAAGAAATGAAGATTATCATTTGATGGGCAAAGCCTAAGAAAATATTGGAAAACACTTTGAAAATTTGGAAATTTTATATAGAATTAATTTGATTTGCATCTCTTACAGTATTTTCAATTGATTAAATTTTGAAATTTCAATTATAAGCAAATTCACATAGTCTTCTAACTTTTACTGAGATCATTTTACACAATTATTTATTTTAAGGTACACAAAAATATTGAAACAATTTAAACGTAAATTCATATAGACCTACTACATCGAACAGAACATAACAACTTCATAAAATTTACACATTTTAATGTTATACGTATAACAAAATTGTTA